CTGAGATTTGAATCCAGATCCTTGGACTTCATGTCCAGCATTCTTTATGTTGGACCATACTCTTCCTATTAAAGATACTTCCTATATCACTGCACACTGCATCCTTACTCACCTTAGGTTTAATAAATTTCTGTAATCTAGTCTTAATCCTCAATAAACTGGTCTCCTCTGGTGATACTGTTACCAGGCCCATACTTTTTAGCTCAGGAGGGCCTCTTAGTACTTTTCTTTTGCACACCTAGTCTTTGAGAATCCAAAGTCACCTCCATGTAAGAATAAAATATCAGATTAGGATTTTAGTCAAGTGGAAATACCAGAGACACACAACTTTGCATAGCTATCAAAAGTTTGTGTCATCTCATGCCACTTTAGAAATTATAGATTTTAGTTTCTCTGTTCTCCCAAAATGACATAATAGTTCCACAATGCCTGAAGTTAGGAGTACAGTGAGAAAGGAGACTTAAGTATTACTATAACAACTCAGATTTATATAATGTATTATGATTTACAGGGTATGTTTACCACAACCCTCAATACCTAGCTAAGGAAACTGAGGCTCAGAGAGGAATTGAATAGGGATTTAGGAAATATTGGGATCGAGTTGGTATCAGTTATAATTGTGACATTAATAGAAATGTAGACATAATACAAATAAAAATCAGGACTCAGAGCACAAGATTTTGCTTATTAGCTTTCCAGGTTCCCAAAACTAATTTTTTTCCAGTATTTAGGCAAAACATTCACAAGGGAGAGAATTCATTACAAAAATTAAAAAGACAAAAATGTTTAGTGCTATCAGAAGAAGCCTCATAAATAAATTTGAAAAATTATTGTCTTTCAGTCGTATCGCACTCTTTGTGACTCCGTGGATGTTTTCTTGGCAAAGATACTAGAGTGGTATACCATTTCCTTCTTCAGTAGATCACCTTTTTGTCAATGATCCATAAGGCAAATAGAGATTAAGGGATTTGTTCAGGGTCACATGGCTAGGAAGTATCTGAGGCTGGATTGGAACTCAGGTCCTCCTGGCTGCAAGCCCAGTGGGCCACCTAGCTGCGCCAAGTATTTGAATTATACTTAATAATATTTGGAGATCTTAGGTAAGCATGACACCCTGACACATGTTTAATATCACAGAAGAAGCCCAAAAGGGAAATGTCTGGAAACAAGAGGTTCCACTCCTTAAAACCTGACAAACATGAGTTGTGTAGTAGAAGTGGTAGATTATTTGGGATCAGAGGACATCGGTTTAAATCCTAGCTGCACCACGTACTACCAGGACATCATGAAGAAGTCAGTTTAACTCCTTTGGCCTGCATTGCATTACCTGTACAATGAGAGGGTCCCTTCTAGCTGTAAATTCTTAGAATTGGAAGATCCCCTATATGGAGCATCCATTTCTGTTATATCTGAGAGATAAACAGATACAAGATAATGGCAGTAAGACCTGTCATGGGAGCCCCTGTTCCACAATAAAAAAGAAACTGTATTCAGTCATAGACTTAAAGAGTTTAGGGTTTGAGACAAGGGGAAAAGGTGTGCTTTTTAGGAAAGACCTGGTTTCCAGTTCTGCTTTTGACATTTAGCCAAATGCCACCCCACAGGGCTGTTGCTGGAATCAAAAGAGGTAAAGTACAGTGTATCATTTGGCAAATCTCAAAGCCATGTGCTAGCCAAGCTATTAGTATTATTTTATGTGATCCAGTTATGTAAACAAATAAGTGTGGACCTAGACAACAACTTATGAGCCAATCTGAGGAAAAAACATGGTTGAACTGCCTGAAGAAGTTATTGTAAGACTAGGAAAATGTTGAGTAACAGCAGTTGAGGGGCTTATTTATTGAAATCGTTGTGATTTTTTTATATACCATCAGTATAATTTCTGATTAGAGATTTTTTAAAATCATAATTCATTACACATAGCACCATATAAAGTGAACAGCACCCAGAATTAAAACGTCAGACCATGAAGGGACTTTGAAATCATCTAGTCCTGCCCTTCATATATACTGCTGTCCAACCAAACTGGCCTTTCTTTCCTGGACCTTACACAACATTCTGTTACTCATCTCTTTTCATGTTCTCTTCATGCCTGCAACAGACTCCCTCTTTGAGAGAGAGAGAGAGAGAGAATGTGTATGTGTAAAATTTATTAAGTTGTGTTAAAATACAAACCAATCTTCAACATAAAATAATAATGTAGCATACATATTTGTAATATAACTATAATGTAATTTGTAATATGACTATAATCACATTAATGTGTTGGGTAGGCTTGTTTGGGGGTATGAAGTTTCTCAAAATGTGGAATGTTTTCTCTCTTCATCTGTACCTCTTGGAATTTTTAGTTTAGTTTCCTTCAAAGCTCAACTCAAGTGGCACTTCCTACCTGAGTCTTTTCCTGATTTCCACCAGCTACATTATTAGGCCCCCCACCTCCACCTTGCATTTATTATGTAAATATTAATATATGTACATATTGTCTCCTTGAGGACAGGGACTGTTTAGTTTCAGTCATATCTCTCCTCAGTGCCTACCCTAGTGTCTGGCACATAGCAGGTGTTTAATAAATATCTGTTGGTTGATTGACTGATTTTACAGATTAGGAAACAGAATTCCTCATGATTAAATAGCATGGTCACTTAATCTTAGCCTTTTGAAAGGAATGTATTCTTTCAACATTTTGAGCCCTGAAATACTTTTTTTTCTCATTTGTATTTTCCTCTTTCCTTATGTTTGGCTGAGGTCCCTTGCCATATTGTAAGTTCTTCTAGTAAGGCTCCTGTTGCTTTTTGTATCCTCCTACAACTTCCAATAAAATGCTAGGAGGTATATAACAAATGCTTTTTTAGTTAATTGACTAATCTAGAAATAAGATCAGAATTCTTCTTGAAATTACATACTTTTTTGTAATGAGTTATCAGCCACAAAGTTTCTTATTTCCCATGAAAGTACATGAGAATTTACTTAAACACATTAAAACAAAGTTAGGTCTAATTATTTCCACATGAGCTTTTGGCTAACATTAAAAAAAAAATCACATGCTTTATGAATATCACACCAGCCTACCACAAGTCCTCTTTATTTTTGTCTGTTGACTATCATACTTTTTAACATTCATTACTAACTTATTCCCCTTAAAAAAAAACCTTTTATTCATTTAGGAAGAGATCTTAAAGCTTTAAATGTGTGGTTGGATTTTTTATTTCTGTTCTTTTGAGACTGTCCGCCACGCTCCACGAGGTCAGAAGTGCAAGTGGCCACTCATGGGTTGATCAGTATTGGAGCTTTGACCAGCTCTGTTTCCAGCCTAAGCCAGTTTACTCCTCCTTAAGCAATCTGTTAGTCCCCTGCTCCCAGAGGCTCACCATGTCGGTGCCAGACTTAGTGTTGACACCTGACCAGCTCAGAACTCACAAACTCAAATGATCTACTAGCTTCAGAGTCCTTAGCAGCAGGGATTAGGCATGTGCCACCATTACAAGATAAATGTCTTTTCAAGCCTGGGATATTTTGTACCTGAAAGTTACTAAACTCTGATAGCTGACCTTGATTTATTATAAATTGGCTTGAGTCTGATCCTTACTAACCCAGACTATTTCAGTACATCTGTGATCTCACTGATGTAGAGAGACCTGCGATGTTTGTTCATATTTCACCATAGATCCTTCACAGACAGTTTATCCTTCACCATGCTAGAAGTCTTCCTTTAGGTCTTTTTACATTTTGAAGGTACCAGTGGAGCACTCAGGATGTCCATTGTCTCTAAATGGCAAAGTAGCTATAGATTCTTCCTGCAGTCAGAAATGACATTTGTGTAAGTTTTCGCAAGTTGGCCAAGGTCTGAAATAACAGGTTGAAATACTTGAGGTACAGGCTTCATTGGTAGTGATTTGAAAGCTACAGGCCTTTGGACACCATCAACAGCACAGTAAAGAACCCTGTTACCTCTTTCTTCTGTGTTCCTTTCTGCCTTTGTGAGGAAAATGAAGAAATGGAAGATGAGTGAATCTATAGGTAGATTGATAGATATCCATTTATATAAGATAACATATTTTTATATACTATATATACACACACAAATGTGTTTAATATAGTATCAGATTGACTTGTAAAGAAAAGGTGGAAAATCAAGAAATAAAAGTTTTGATGGGGAAGTAAACTTGAAAAAAATTATAGTTGCACCTAGTTTGAGCTGTGCTGATGATGTTTTTGGGATAAAGGTTGTTTCCAAGTTGAGTGCAATAGGTTCAGAAGTTTTAGATAATGCCAATTAAAATTTGACTGCAAACTAAAATTGGATGTTAATTTTATAGCATTGTGTAAGAATAAAGATCTCTAGAGCTTTGGGGATTTTCTTCTTCATTTAAAATCCAGTCTGCACCAGAACTTCCAGCCATCTTTGTTCTGAAGCCCTGCTTCCTTAAATATTGTTGAGTAGTCTATGTGGTATTCATTCCTTTGGAGAGCCAAACTTGGTTCATTTCTTCATGGGAGTGGGGGGGATGGGGTGGACCAAACCACAACAATCACAATCTTTATATCTGCTTGGGACGATTTCTTGGTCATCTTTCTGATACTGTACTAGCTAAGCATTTACTTTGGATCTCTTCAGGTTTACTTGAATTACTGTTATTTTCACTTTATGGTCTTTTCAACCTTCTGAAGCAAATGTCTTTTCTGGTCTTTTTTTATTCTTTAAAATTTATGTTTATTTTCCCCCATGTATTTCTAATAAAGCCTAAATGGCATTGGCTTTTGATACATATGTACACATTTCTTATTTATGTATATAAAACCAACATTAATATCTGAAACAAATAATGGGGTTTTCTTTATTCTTATATAAATGGCTTCTAATATATTTTTTATATTTAAGATGAGAAGTTCCTAATTTGATTATAATAGGAAGTCAAATGAATCTAATTTTAATTAAAATTATCCTTTTGCCATTTTTTCTGCTACCTTTTCTGATCCTAATATCTTTTTTTTTTACATAGGTCCATAATTAAAGTAGAAGATGGCAAGACCCAGCCACAGCAGCTACGTCCTTCAGCAGCTAAACAACCAAAGGGAATGGGGTTTTCTTTGTGACTGTTGTATTGCCATTGATGACATTTATTTTCAAGCTCACAAAGCAGTTCTAGCTGCTTGCAGCTCTTATTTTAGGATGTTTTTCATGAACCATCAGCACACTACTGCACAGCTGAATCTTAGCAACATGAAAATTAGTGCTGAATGCTTTGATCTAATTTTGCAGTTTATGTATTTAGGAAAAATTATGACAGCCCCTGCCAACTTTGAACAGTTTAAAGTGGCAATGCACTACTTACAGTTGTACAATGTTCCTGAGTGTTTAGAAGACATACAGGATGCAGACTGTTCTAGTTCAAAATGTTCGTCTTCTGCTTCCAGCAATCACAGTAATAAGATGATATTTGGGGTACGGATGTACGATGACACCCTAGCTAAAAATGGCAGTGAAGCAAACAGGTGGTGTGTAGAGCCAAGTTCAACAGTAAATACGTCACAAAACAAGGAGCCTGATGAAGAGTCTTTACAGTTAGGCAGCTTTCCGGAGCAGTTGTTTGATGTATGTAAAAAAAGCTCTGTGTCCAAATTGTCTAACCCAAAGGATCGTGGGTCACGGCGCTTTGGAAGGAGCTTTACCTGTGACAGTTGCGGATTTGGTTTTAGCTGTGAAAAGTTACTGGATGAGCATGTGTTAACCTGCACTAATAGACATTCCTATCAAAACACAAGGGCATATCATAGGATAATAGATGTTAGAGATGGAAAAGACAGTAATACCAAAACTGACTCCTGTGAAAAAGATTCTTCTAAAACATTTTCTGTACAAATAGACAAATATAGAGGGGACACAAGCCAGACCACCAGTGATTCATCATCATCCACTGGAAACAGAAAAGGCAGTACAGCAGAGCCTGAAGTCACTGGTGAAGAGAAGAGCAGAGCTGCTGAGAGGAAAAGGATTATCATCAAGATGGAGCCAGAAGATCATCCTAAAGATGAATTTAAAGACTTCAACGTTATTAAAGTTTCTGATAAAGACTGTAATGAATCTACTGACAATGATGAATTAGAAGATGAACCTGAAGAGCCATTTTATAGATATTACATTGAAGAAGAGGTCAATATGAAGAAAAATGCTAGGAAACTTTTAAAACCTCGGATGTCTGTAAACACAGATGAAAGAAGCAGTTTGGAAAATACGAGGCACCCTACCAAGGACAGTCCTGTACAAGGGGATACTGAAGGCGCATCGTGTGAACTGTGTGGACAGACAATAACTGAAGAAGATCTGTCATCTCATTATTTATCAAAACACATAGAAAATATCTGTGCTTGTGGTAAATGTGGTCAAATATTAGTCAAAGGTAGGCAACTTCAAGAACATGCACAAAGATGTGGAGAACCCCAAGATTTGACTGTGAATGGTTTAGGAAACAGTGAAGAAAAAATGGACATGGAAGAGAATACTGATGAGCAATCTGAAATAAGAGATATGTTTGTTGAGATGTTGGATGATTTCAGGGACAATCATTTCCAAATAAATAGTCTCCCCCAAAAGCAATTATATAAACATTCTGCATGTCCTTTTCGATGTCCTAATTGTGGTCAGCGTTTTGAAAATGAAAATCTAGTGGTTGAGCATATGTCCAGCTGCCTAGACCAAGATATGTTTAAGAATGCCATTATAGAAGAGAACGAAAGAGATCATAGAAGAAAACATTTCTGCAATCTTTGTGGAAAGGGATTTTATCAGCGTTGTCACTTAAGGGAACACTATACAGTCCATACCAAGGAAAAACAATTCGTTTGTCAGACATGTGGAAAGCAGTTTTTAAGAGAACGTCAGTTGCGACTACATAACGATATGCACAAAGGCATGGCCAGGTATGTCTGTTCCATTTGTGATCAAGGAAACTTCCGAAAACATGACCATGTACGGCATATGATTTCTCATTTATCTTCTGGGGAGACTATATGCCAGGTCTGCTTTCAGATATTTCCAAATAATGAACAGTTGGAGCAGCACATGGATGTTCATCTATATACATGTGGAATATGTGGAGCAAAGTTTAATTTGCGAAAAGATATGAGATCTCATTATAATGCCAAGCATTTGAAAAGAACATAAGTGATTCCTACTGTGAGAGTATTAACTTGACAGCAAACAAAACACCAAAGCAAGGAGTATGATATATTAGAATTTGATTTTATAAAATGAATTGTTGGAAAAAGCATATTTTATGACCTTTTTACCTTTTAATATCTTTGTTTAGGATCATTAAGTATATATACATGTTTATCGTTTTTACTGTTATTTTTACTGCTAATAGAAATTTTTATGTTTTTAGTTTTGTCTTACCTATGATTAAAATTACTTTTAAATGTAGACTAAAAGCACAATGTTATCCCTTCAATGACTTATTAAACTCATAGTTCTATATCAATAAGATGATGATCTCACTATGTTCCACGTGTTTTTACTTAAAAGTTAACCTTGTGAAGTTTTAAACACATCATCAGTGGACATCCTTGACTTTCTTTTTTTAATTTAAAAAAGGAAATCAGTTCTGAGAGACTAGTCACTTTTCCTGTAACTGTTCTGTCAATACAGCAGTGACTTAACCATTGTTCTTATTTTTATCATTAATGAAGTCCAGATTCTGAAGTTGATAAGGATATTAGGTAGTTTGGTTGAGCTAAATCTAACCTTATAATTTACATAGGCTAGAAACAAAAGAGGTGAAAAAATTTAAAAAAAGGTGAAAAATACCTGCATGAATTGAATTTTAAAAGTATATTGAGTAAAGAAACAAATACCTTTACTCCACTTAAATTAATGGAGATAAACCAACCAGCTTTATGCTACAAATTAAAATATTATATTGATGCTATATCTTTTAATGTTAAAATTTACTAAATCAAAATATCCTAAATTCCATAGTACTTTAACTTGATTACTTATTGCTTTTAAGTGGATTTTAATAACATTATCACCTAATTAGCCAAAGGAAGATGATTTTTTGTCTTTAAAATTATATAGTTTTGAAACTGATTTTTAAAAAATTTTAGCTAAACCACTGTATAGTAATAAAACTAATAAAAATAAATCAGTTCTAAATATGGTTATTCTATAAAAGCACAAGGCTTGAAGAGCAAATATTATTGTGTTTATATATTACCTAAACTTTGGAGAAAATGTGGGGCAAATACTAGTTTTTAATCATGCTATTTCTCTGTCATGGGCTTGTACAATTTTTGACAATGCCAAATATATGCATATGTATACACATCTGTGTGTGTGTGTGTGTGTGTGTGTGTGTGTGTATACACACAGACACACCCATATATATATATATATATATATATACATCTATAAAATGATGTGATTCAGAGTATAACCTAAAGTGTATTATAGTCAAATCAGTATTATTGTTAGATGCTAAAGCAGGGTCTATTTAATTACATGTGAGCTGAGATATAGACATAAATTTATCTATTAAAGATGTTATAAGCTGTCATGTGATTTTTAAAAATAAATGTATTGCCTGGACCCATTTAAATGCATGATACAAATGTATAACAAAAAGAATGTTTTTAAAACAGTATTTTATATTCTTTCAGTATTATTTTGTGTACAATATTAATTTTTTTAAATTACTGTTTCACATTGAAATTTTAAGATACATACACAAGTTGTGTTTCTGTGTACATTTTGCAGATAAATAGACAAAGTGGCCCATAGAACTAAGATGCTAACACAGGCTTGATTGAAAGGGAAGTATTGTAGCACACACACAGTGAGCTAAGATATTTGCAATGCTATGGAGAGGTGCCAAATAACACAGGAGACAAAGCAGAATTAGAGCAACATAATTTTTTAATGACATTAATAAGCAACATAGCAAAATGAAAAAATCCAGAAGAAAGCAAATAAGAAACCCGGAAAGCAGAACAAGTTTTGTGGATATGATAGAAAGTGACTCAGCTTAGCATTAGATACTTTTCAGATTAGAATATTAACTTTTCATGGCATAGAATGTCACTGAGGCACAACCATCTAATGTTTACAAAATAATTAACAGATTTTGAAAGTGCAAATTAAAGATAAAATTGGGACTATCAAATCACCTGACGGACAATTAAAGTGTTAGGACAAATGCAGGTCTCTGGAAATAGTTTTTAAAATTAGGTAGCAGCAGACAAAACCAAAATTTCAGAATTCTGATTATTGTATACTATTGAATGGGACTTTTCCTTGAGATAATTTTATCTTACAGTGCCTTATTATAAGTAGGTGCTTAATAAATACTTGTTAGTTGAATAAATAAGGAGGCAGCACAGTGCAATACAGATTACTCTGAATGCAGATGTTGGATTTGGAATTAGAAGTTCTGGACTAGATTTCCTTCTCGTCTGTCAAGTACCTGTGTGATCTTTAAGTCATAGCCCCTCTTGGCCTTATTTCATCATCACTAAAAAATAAAAAGGTTAAACTAGAATGTTCTCAAAGGTCACTTCTATCTCTAAAATTGTCTCTATGAATGAATGGATTTTCCACGCTGCACAGGAACACATACTAATTTTTGTTCCTATATTGAAACTAACTTAACAGCCATTAGAGGCTTTTAAAAGTAGGACACTTTCCTTACCCAGGAAGACAGTGTTAGCTGACAGATTGAGTGAGTAAGCATTTATAGATGGCTGCATCTTGTTATGTGTAGGGCAGGGGTAGAAGAAAATTAGTGTTCTTATGCCTGAATCCACTTACCTCTTGCCTCTCATACTCTGAAATGGCAAGATTCTCCATTCAGTCCCTTAGTGTAACTTTAGCCTTAAGAGAGGTAATAGGGAGCAAGGAGTTTAGCATCTGCCTACTTGGCCTTCCCTTGGTCCTAAGATGCTTAAACACTAAACCTAATGTCAAAGAGCCATAAATACTACCTTATCTTGCAGATCATGCCCCCTTCTTTATTTCTCTTAAAACATCTTTCCCCCCCAAGTAAATAAGCATTTATTAAGTGCCTACTATATGCTAGTCACACAGCAAGAAATCTTGGAGAAATATTAGTTCCGAAGTGTGCCAGTGATGGCTGTGTGATTCTGGCATGTAGCAGAATGAGGTTTCTCAAAGATTAATGAAAGTTGTCCAGAGGTAGATGATGGTATGAATACTTTCCCCTCCCCCCACTTAAAAGTGAAAATAGCAAGAAGGATGAATGATGTACAGTATATAGTAAATATGTGAACTTAAGAGAAAATACAAGAATCCTAGAATGTCTAGTGATAAAATTGTGGAAGGACTAGAACACAGCAAAAAAAATTATAGGATCTCAGGATTATAAGGGATCTTAGAAGCCATCTATCTAGTCCAACCCATATCTGACCTAGAAACCCCTTGGCAACATCTCCATTAGTTGGCCATCCAGCTGCTTAAAGCTCTTAAATAGGTACTATTTCCTGAAGCGGCCCTTTATATTTCTGTATCCATCTGTTGGGAAGTTTCTCCCTGCATTAATGCCAAATCTGCCTTTCTATAACTTAAACCCATTACTCCCAGTTCTGCCCACTTGGGTACCAAACAAAATGTTTAATCCTTCCAATTCAGCTTTTCAGACACATGAAGACTGTTGATGTTCCCAATGCCTCTTCATGCTAAACACTCTCAGTTCCTTTAGCCAGTTACTGTGAGGACATGTACTTGAATCCCTTCACCATTATGGAAGTTCTTCCCTGTATGCCCTCCAGCTTATCAGAGTCCTTTCTAAAATATGAAGCCTGTACTGTAAATGATCTAACCAGAGCAGAGAACAGTCACCTCTCTAGTCCTAGACCTTAAGTCTGTTGATATAGTTTTAAATTGCGTTAACTTATTTGGCCGACTCATGTTGATAAAACCTCATCTTTTCCCATAGAATTCTTGTTTAGTGACACCTTCCTTACCTTATATTTGGGTTAAAAAATAAACTTGATAAGTATGAGATTTAACAATTTTCCATATTTAAATTTAGATTCAACCCAATATTTTAGCCTGTCAAGGCTTTTTTTTTAATCCTATTATCCAGTGTATTTACTATCCTTCCCAGTCTTCTGAAAATTTAATAATTATGGTATCTATACTTTTTCCAAATCATTGATGAAAAATGGTAAATAGCACAGGTTCAAGCACAAATTACTAGACTCTGTACTGGGAACCTTATTCCAAGTTGACTTCCAGCCATTACTAATCCATTTTCTGGATACAGTTAATCAACCTGTCCAAAATACAACTAACTTCTTGTGCTCATCTGCATTTCCATGATATAAGTAAATTTAGTTTGGCATGACTTGTTTTGATGCTTTGTGCACACTACTTGTTCTTATAGGTGTTAAGAATCCTGCTTTAATAACATTTTCTATGATTTTGCCAGAAATAGGTCAAACTATAATTTGTAAATGGTACTCTATTTTTCTGAAAATTTGGATAACAACATTTGCCCTTTTCTAGTGTGGTGGCACTTCTTCCACTCTCCAGGATCTTTCAAAGAAAAGAGTGGCTCAACAATCCCATTCTCCAGTTCTTCCATTACACTTTGATGTAATTTGCCTGGTCGTCCTGACTTGGCATCAAAAGTACAAGACACTCTTATTATCTTTTTACCTATCCTGGGATTCAGCTTCCTAGCAACCATTTTTTCATCCTTTTCAGTCCAAAGATCATTCTTTGGTAGAGAAAACAATAAAAACTAGTCCAAGAGTTGTGCCTTATTTCTAATCCATTATCATCATCATCCTGCCTAGGATGCCCTAGCCCCTCTTTGATTCTTTTTTCTCCAAAATTATTTTTATTCTTTGTAGTTTGTTTTAATTTCAAGTTATGACCCAGAAAATTCTCAACAAAATTAGCATTTCCACATAAAATAAGTCTAGGAAAATAGAATGACATATGAAACTGTGCACCTATCACATGTAGTTTTTTAAGAATATATAAGTTTAACTGTTAGTAAAAACGTTGCTCTGCTTGTCTGTGATTCAGTAAGGTTTTTATAAAGGACTTTTTTTTTAAGCTAGGCAATGGGGTTAACTGACTTGCCCAGGGTCACACAGCTAGGCCAGATTTGAACTCAGGTCGTCCTGAATCCAGGGCCGGTCTCTATCCACTTTGGCCTTTTGGTTGAACCTAGTATTCACTGCTAGTCTCAATACATTGTGTTCCAGTGCTCCTCACACTTCTCATACAGGTCATCTCACCCATTCATTTTCTGTCACCTGCCCTTCCTTCTGTCTTTTGTGCATGTCTTTGTAAAACTGAAGAAGACAGTCCCTTCACTGACATTGGTCTCTCCAGACGATGCCTTTTCCTTCCAACTGGAGTTGAGATCTGTAGAACATCCCAAGGATCACAGCACAATAGGCAGAGATGATGCTTACAAAGGAATGGTAAACTAGTCACGGTTAGTACTTTAATTCCAAAATTCCACAACTGCACCACAAAAAGTCAAAGACAACATCAGACTACTAGAAAGTGACATGTGTGCACACTTTTAAATATCTGTAGATAAACATAGAGAACATTGCTACATCTCTTAATTCTTCCTACGGTCTCTAATGATAAGAAAATTATTACTTTTGCCCCATTTTTTCTTGTTTTCAACCCTAGTAAGTTCTGGGAGGGCCTAACTTTAGGCCTGTCTTATTGCCTGGAGTGGGATAGAAATGAATGGAGCCTTAAGAAATGCCAGCAAGTTGAATTGACTGCTCACTGGAATTTGCAGTTGTAGTTTCCTGTAAAATCCTATGAATTAACTCTCCCGATCCATGTTCCCAAGAAATATATTCACACACAGTCTCAGCAGAATCAAGGGAAAGAACAATGGGTTTGGAGTCAAGAGGACGTGGATTCAGATCCCACCTCTACCACTATATTACTTCTTGGGATCTCAGTTTCCCCATCTATAAAATAAAAGATTGGACTAAATGGCTTCAGTAGCCCTTTTTATCTCTACATCAATGAGCTGCTCTTCCTCGGCCTGCCTATGTTATCTATGAGATCCTTAAGTCTGTATGTGGAAGCTAGGATTAAAGATGTCTGCTACCTTCAATTCTGTGCTAATAAGGCAAAAGCATAGAAAGAGTACTGTGATGGACTAGGAATTAAAAGTCCTAGTTCTACAAACTAATGAGCTTTGTAACCTTGGATAGCCTTTTACCTGTGGTCTTCCTTTGGCAGCTTGGTGGCATGGTGAATAGAGTGTTGGGCCTAGAATCAGAAGTCCTGAATTCAAATGCAGCCTCAGACACCTACTAGCTGTGTGACCCTGAGCAAGTCACATCTCAGTCTGCCCCAGTTTCCCCATCTGTAAAATGGTAATGATAATAGCACCTACCTAGCAGAGTTGTGAAATTCAAATGAGATAATATTCATAAGGTGCTTTGCAAACTTAAAAGGCTACATATAAATGGTATTCATCTGTATAAATAACATTAACATAGTGTTTAAAGGTTTACAAAAGCACTGTATGTATATTATCCATTTTCTCAATACAAGTTTGTGACAAGCACCATAATATGTTGGATAGAGAAATGACCTCTCAGTCGAGGAAACCAGGGTTCCTACCTTGCTTCTGACACATAATGGTTTGTGTTACTCTGAACAAAGTCACTTAACTTTTCAGTTCCCCAACTAACTCCTGAAGAGACTGTAAATTGCAAAGCAAGCGTAATCATACCTGGTGGAAAGTTTCCTAATCAGGAGTTCCCAGTACCAATGAAATCACAGATGAAATCTTCCCCTTCTCTTCCTCCCCCCACCCCCAAAAAAATGCTGTGAAGTAGATAATAAATGTTATCCTTATTTTGCTAATCAAGAAATAAGCTCATAACCATGTAAGTAACTTGCCCATATTCACACAGTTTGCAAGTCTCAGAGGTGGGATTTGGACACAAGTCCTACCTGATTCTAAGCCCAGTGTTCTTTCCACTACACTGCACTGCCTCTATAAAATGAGGCTGCACCAAATGATCTCAAATCACTTCCAGCTCTATAACAGTATGATTCTCTATGCTACCATCTATAATCTGTATTCTACAATGCACATGAATAGTAAGCACATACATATTTTTAATTCCTTAAAAAAATTATAAAACAATCCTCAATCTGTTGTAGCCCCCTCCTACTTCTGCAGTGATAGTGAGAGAATAATGTAAAGAATGCAGGGGATGCTAAGAATCACAACTTTCAGATTATCTAGAAACAACTGTTTACACCGTAAATGTAATATCCTTGTCCAGTGACCAACAAGGGGGGTATATTACTGGGGAAAAATGAATTATGTCAATATTGACTTTTCACTATAAACGAAACCAAAAGAAGGAAGGAAGTTGCAGCTAAATAAAAGGATGACTTAAAGGTTCTCCTTTGTCAGACAACTAGAGGAAGTGGCATAGTTACTTTATGATGCAGCTAAAGAAATCAAGAAACATTATATAAGCACTCAATTATCTTGCATTGCATTGTAAGTAA